GAACTCAATAACAATTGAGATGCAAATAAAATGATATTTTTAATCTTTGGAAAAATTGAAAAATTAATAAATATACTTAATGTGGTAAATGAGTATTCTTGTAAGGGCAAAATTCTTTCTTTTTGTATTTTTTTTGGCAAAATTCTTTCTGATGGCAGGAAATTTGGCAATATTTAAAATTTTAATATGTGTTTACCCTTTAGATACGAGATTTGATGTCTAGAAATTTTTCATAAAGAGATAAGTAAGCATAAAATGATATATATCTGCCACTGAAAATGTCCATCACTATAAGATTAAGTTGTGATGTATCCAATCAATTGGATACTGTACAGCTATTAATATTAAAAATGGTGATGAAAGAAGGAGGGGACATGTATACCTATGGCTGATTCATGTTGATGTATGGCAGAAACCAACACAATGTTGTAAATCAATTATCCTTCAATTAAAAACAAATAAACTTTAAAAAATAGTGATATAGATTCATATTTATTACAGTGGAAATAGGTCCTTGACATGCCCTTTTTTCTCAACAGTAAGTAATAGCACACCTAACGGGACCTCATTTATATAAAATTGTACATGTGTGTAAATGTAGACAGATTTCTGAAAATAAACACTGATTAAAATGATTATCTCTGAGTGGTGGCCTTTTGGGACTTTGTGGGTTTTTTTTTTTTTTTAGTACTGTTAGATTTCTTTATAGTTAATATTTATCATTTTTATACCTGAAGAAGGAAGAGTATTTTTGCTCTTTCTGAACGAATGAATATGTCTAGTTTATCCCTTCTGCTTGTTAATTGACTTTGTGGATAACAAGAAATACAGCTTTTAAGCCAATACCTGATACATTCTAGAAGTACCTAACTCTGGCAATGTCGGTAGAAACTTTCTAATGTGGTATCTGAGGGCCATGGTTTGGGATGCTCTCCTACTGCCGTTGAAATTACCCAGGAACTGGTGCTGATGGTTGGGGCGTTCTGAACTCCAGAGCCCAGGGCATTTACTGAAATTTTCATTGCCTCACCCTGCTGTAAGTGCTTTAAGACCTGATTTTTAAAGAGCAGAGTCAAGTCTGAACCTTTGTTTTTGTTGCTTTGATTTACTTTTTCTCAGCTTTGTTTATAATTAACAAAGAAAATTGTTAGATATATAAAGCATAGCTCATAGTGATTCAATATATGTATACATTGTGCAAAGCTTCCTCCCATTTAGTTCATTAAAGCATCCATCACTTCACGTATTTATCTTTTTTTTCATTTATGCAAGAGAACGTTAAGTTCTACCCTTTGAGTGAATTTCACTTATACAATATAGTGTTACCAATTGTAGTGACCATGTTATATATTACCACCTCAGACCTTATTTATTCATTTATAGCTGAAAATTTATACTCTTCCATCAGCCTTTCCCTGTTTCTCCCATACCCCTGGCCATCACTTTTCCTACTGTTTCCATGAGTTTGACTTTTTTTTCCCCCCATTTATTTTTTATTAGTTGGAGGCTAATTACTTTACAATATTGTAGTGGTTTTTGTCATACATTGACATGAATCAGCCATGGATTTACATGTGTTCCCCATCCCGATCCCGCCTCCCGCCTCCCTCCCCATACCATCCCTCTGGGTCTTCCCAGTGCACCAGCCCCGAGCACTTGTCTCATGCATCCAACCTGGGCTGGTGATCTGTTTCACCCTTGATAGTATTCTTGTTTCAATGCCATCCTCGCCTTCTCCCACAGAGTCCAAAAGTCTGTTCTGTACATCTGTGTCTCTTTTTCTATTTTGCATATAGGGTTATCGTTACCATCTTTTTAAATTCCATATATATGCATTAGTATACTGTATTGGTCTTTATCTTTCTGGCTTACTTCACTCGGTGTAATGGGCTCCAGTTTTATCCATCTCATTAGAACTGATTCAAATGAATTATTTTTTAGTGGCTGAGTAATATTCCATAGTGTATATGTACCACAGCTTCCTTATCCATTCGTCTGCTGATGGGCATCTAGGTTGCTTCCATGTCCTGTCTATTATAGACAGTGCTGTGATGAACATTGGGGTACATGGAGTTTGACTTTTTAAGAAAGATTATACATGTAAGTGATACTGTGCAGTATTAGTTTTTGTTGATTTACTTTGGGTTAACAAAGTATCTGCATTTATTGCACACACCTGCCCTTGTTGATAAACGATAGAAATATTAGAAGTCATTCTCTTTTCTGCATATATGTCAGGTATTGATTAAATCATTGGGTTGAGGGAAAGTAAAATTCCTGCTCTCCAAACATCTGACACCTGCTCTCCAGACATCTGAACTGAAGTTTCAAAGATTAAGCGTAAATTAGCCAAACCCAGGAAAGGGATATGAGGGTAACACAGGTAGAGACAGACAGGGCTTGGCACTTGTTGGGAACTGTAAGGCCTTCAGCGTGGTTGGGACTAGGGGCTGTGCAGACAAGAAAAAGGGAGGCCGGAGAAGCCAGGTCATGAAAGGTCTTGTCAGCTGTCAACGAGTTTCTTTCTCTGGACTTGCATGTAAATACAGCCTTTGTTCACATAGACTGGAATTCTTTGAGTCATCTTTGACTCTTAAGTCTTCCTCCCTTCCCTTAAAGTTCCTCACAATTGGGCACCAATTCTTGTCAATTTTGGGAACTTGGATTGAAATAGAATAATGACAAGCTAGATGTAGACTGTGTTCTCTATGACAGGCTGTAACTTAGTCTTTTTAATTTCTAGGGCTGAGCACTGGCTCCCAGACCCTTAGGAAATGTTTACATGAAGGGAGTTCAAAAGAAAAAGTTTATTGTTTTTACGTGTGACCGTGTGTAACTTTTCTCTTCTCCATTTTGTTATGGAAAATCTAATAGTCTTAGGAAGTCTAGTTGAAAAGTCAGTGCTTGGGTAATTTAAAATCTTGGTAATGAAATCAGACCTACTTGATTAGTGCACTGAACAGTGATGGAAGGAATGTAGTTTAGGAAGAAAAGTGCCAGACAGCTTTTAACAATTGGATTTTAATGAATATACCCCAGGTTACATAGTCTGTGTACCTTTTTTTGTGGCCAAGAACAATAGTTTTGTGACTATCCCAGTAGAGATTCATTTTTTAGTTAAAGGAAAAATCATGTATAGGTATATTTATTGCTTTTTACTTGTCACAGGTAGTTATATGACTACATGCTTCCTTGAACTTATGGATATGTACTGTATTTATTTTGTGTTTAACTATAAAAGAAAAACTGTACAAAGATATGGTTAGCATTTGCAACAGTTAGGCATTGTTTTAGTGAAATAATTGTGCCATTTTGAAAACAAATTAATGATCTGAGGCATATCTTGTGAAGCAACTTTTATGATTATCAACAACACAGCTGCTAAAACTATTATCTTGGTGGAATTGAATCTCTTGTTATTTGGGTCACATAACCAGCAACTGAACTTTTATACTTGTAACTATATAAGACCCTTGTCAAGAAATAATGTGATATTATTAGAAGAGAGGCATCTTAAAATGTTTTCATATATGGCCTTAAGAAAAACAATGTATTTGTTATATAGAGAGAGCTAGAATGGTAGCATTATAATATAGTCTACTCATGCCTGTATTCATGTTTCATATTTTTAAACCCTTTAATTTTAAAATTTTTGTAATATAAACTAGCTAAGCCTATTACTTTCCCCCTTCAAAAAAAAAAAAAAGGAAATATGAGAGTATTTTTTCTATATCACCTCTAACTTCCCATTACCTCTAGTTTCTTTTTTTCTTTTTAGTTTTTATTTTTGGCTTATATCTAAATACATATCCTGTAGCTTGAAATGGAAAATATATTTGCATATATGTCTTCAAGTATTGCTCCTATAGGCTGGTTAGTTTGGTTTCTTGAAGTCTATTTATTATAACAAAACTCAATAAGATATGTGCCTTACAGAGCTGATTATTGTGGAAATTTACTGTAACTTTATCTTTAGCTGCCTTATTTCCTTTTGAGTGAGTATAGGTGATATAATAATAAGTGAATATTTACCTATTACAGCTACTTAATCTTAAACCCAAGGTGAGCAGTTTAAAAATGGGTAGATAAGGATGGTGGCCTTTCTTATTATGCCTTTTTATCTCTCAGGACACATTAAGCTTGTAAATCCTCTCATATATTGATACATTTGTCTTATTTTCTGTTTTTTTTGCAGAGATTAATTGTAGTTGTAAGAAATAATACAGAGATCTTTTGTACACTTAGCCTATTTTCCCCAGTGATAACATTTTTGAGGAGGACATAGTATTTTGACATTGTACAAACCACTGCTCTTACTCAAATTTCTTCAGTTTTTACTTGTACTTGTGTGTATGTGTTTTAAATTCTATACTGCTTAATTTCCTTTTTCTGTTTGTACATCCACCACTGCAGTCGAGATGCTGAATTGTTTCCTGTCACCAAAAGGTCCTGCATATTGCCCTTTTGTAACACCTGGTTCTCTCTTGCCGCTTCACTTTCCCTCTTCCTATCTACTAGTGGACCTCTGACAACCATTAATCTTTCTTCCATTTCTAAAATTTTGTTGTGTCAGAAATGTACAAATAAAGCCATAAGTAGCCATTTGAGAGTGACTGTTTTTACTTAATATATCTGGAAATGAAATGAAGTTGCTTAAGTCATGATCAACTCTTTGCGACCCGGTGGACTGTAGCCTGCCAGGCTCTTCTGTCCATGTGATTTTCCAGGCAAGAATACTGGAGTGGGTTGCTGTTTCCTTCTCCAAGGGATTTTCTCAACCCAGGGGTTGAACCTGGGTCTCCCACATTGCAGGGAGACTCTTTACCTTCTGAGCCACCAGGGAATCCCTTACTATGAGAGCCGTCCGAGTTTGTGTGAATCAGTAGCTTATTCCTCCTTGTCACTCACTTTTTATATTTAAGTTAGAGAAACTCTACCTAGTTTCTGCTTTGTTCCTTCCTAAGCTGTTTTTTAAATAAATGTGTCTGTCTGAAATCTAGGGGACAAAACGAGACCGCCTTCCTCCAGCCCCTCTAGCATCATCCGCCGAACCTCCTCCCTGGACACGCTCGCTGCTCCCTACCTCGCAGGGCACTGGCCTCGGGATGGTCATGGGCAAGCTACTCCTTGCATGAGGGACAAGGCCACCCAGGTAGGTTAATCACAGTTCTTACCTTGAAGCGTTTCACTCAAACCATTTCTCATAATACTGTTTGTTCTGCTCTGCTCTCTCGAATTCTTAAAACTAGTGTGTATCAGCATTATCTGGGAAGCTTATCAAAAATGCAGATCCCCAGGCTTGACCTTTGAGTGTTCTCCAGTAGGTTTTGGTTGAGTCTTGAGAATGTGCATTTTAAACAGTTGTCAAAGGAATTCTGATATATGGAGTAATTTATGGATATGTTTTCTCTCACTTTTTTACAGTTTAGAACATCACACAGTAAATTTCATTTATGGAATTTGGACTTAAAAATTTGTTAGAGTAAAGGTTACTTTTTCATCCAACCTTAAATTTTTGTGCCAAAAATCTTCATGTTTTGGGAAATGGGGATTATTTTATATTGCTGATAGAGTCTGTAAATGTAGATATCCTGACAAAGGGACTCTGGAAGCAAAGTTTCATACTTTGAGATTTATAAAAAGTTTTAATTAAGTGGATATTAAAGGATCATTTGATCTAACTCCTAGTCTTACCGGTGAGGAAACTAAGGTCCAAGATCATAAAGCCAGTAGTTGACTCTGTCTTAGTTGGGTGTAGTTTCTGTCGCAGCAACTTAACTACAACGATAGTTTGGTTAAATTTTTGTATAATCATTTAACTTTTCTCATAATCATTGGGTGGCAAGCCCCTGAAGGCAAGGCCTGCGTCTGGCTTGCCCGTTTTTGTATTTTCATCACCAGAAATCAGTACTATACTTGATAGAGTAAGACTACTCCAGGAATATTTTCGAAGGATTAAATGAGCAGAACAGTTTTATGGTTAGTGAAGAATGAAAATCATTTAAAGAGTGAAAAGATCCTTGATACTGATTGTTGAAAATCAGCTAAGGTACATCTTGATTTAGACTTAAATTTACGTCACTTGGTGGTTGCTTGATCTCAGCACTTTATGAGTGGGACCAAGTAAATACACTTTGCAGTGGTTTTTGGATTTACATATTGGTTCCCAGAATTCCAGATGTTCTTGATGGGGTTAGTTTGTTTTCTGTTCTGATACTCTTTAAACCCAGCCCCATTGTTAGGGTAGATACTTAGGATTTGAAATTACCTTGAGGGTTATACTCCAGTTGCAGCTACAGAAATGAAAATGCAGTCTGTACTCATCAAAACCAATGAGTCTTTTCTGAAATTGTGACTTTTTAAGCCAAAGAGTTCTGTAGAACTCTGCATTTATTCAAAATCTGTAACTTTACTGCGATTAAGGCATGGTCGTATAGAAAATGAGTAAAAATTCTTTTCCCATTTAGGTTATTACAGAATATTGAGCAACATTTCCTATCCTATACAGTAGAGTTTGAAAAAGAATAGAAACCCATATATGTATAACTGAATCACTTTGTTGTACACCTGAAACTGCCACATTATTAATTAACTGTGCACCAATATAAAATTTAAAAAAATGAATACGGTCTTTACTTGCTTTAGCTTCATCCACATGTGACGTTAAAATTAGTGTGAATGTATTTCCTTTAATATTTCTGCAACCCTCTTTATTTCCTCTGCAGTTTCAGGTTCAGTGGGTTCAGATATTTTGCTTTACCAGTAAGAATATACAGTTTCATAAATCGTTGGGAGCCCCTTGTTATGTGGAAGTTCAGTAAGTCTTCAGCGAGTTGCTGTGTTCTAGCTTTAGCTACCACTTGATTGGTGTTCCTGTCTTTTGTTTAGTTTGTGATACTTTCCCACCATTTGCCTGGATAGTTTATACTCTAATGCTCATAGCAGCTGCCCCTGATCCCATAGAATCTTGCCTGGCTACTTTTCCTGTCCTTCTAGGTTTGGATTAGGTGCCTTTCTTAGGGGACCTCAGTCATCACATGATATCCAAATTGGCTGTTTATCCTTTCTCTCCTAGAAAAAACTCTTTGAACATAAAAACTGTATTTTCTAACTCCAACACGTAGTCTAGTACCTGATATGTTAGAAGATACATATTGCTTTCCAGTATACAATGCAAAATTGAACAAAATTGAAACATAATTAAAACTCAATTTTACTTTGTATTAATTCCTGAGTGTCTTATAATAAAGGTTTGGCTTCTTAGTTGAACAAAGAAAGCAATTATCTTTTGAATTAGGAGGTTAAGTAAAATTAACAACTTCTGCTGAGTATTTTTTCCTGCCTGAACATCTTATCACTGAAATTAACAACACTGTCTTTTGCTCTTTATGCTTATTTTTATTTGTTTTGCTAATTAATGCTCTTTTTATCTTTACTTTGTTCTTAAATCTATAAGAAACTTCTATATTCCTTTGCTTTTCCTTGAATTTTTATACTTAAATTGAATATCTTGAGTAATTTCTCTAATTTTTAAAAGCTTTGTTTGGACAAGTCTCAAATTTATAGAAAAGTCGCAAGAATTGTAGATTGAGCACCAGGGAACTCCTCACATATATTTACCAATAAACATTTTTGCATATTTTGTGTTCTTTAATATATAATTGTTATTATCACTGATGTTATTACTTGCTCTTTGTAATTTACAGACATTATGACTCTTCTCAAATACCTCAGAAAATATGTACAAACACAGACTTTAAAAATTTAATTATCAAATTCAGAAGATTTAGCATTGATACAATTCTCTTCTTTATTATGTGGATACATAGACACATATTTTTGGTTTGTTTCCCCAAAGATGTTCTCTGTAGCAATTTCTTCCTTAAGCTGGGATCCAATGAAGGAGCACAAGTCAACATTTAGATGTCATATTTCTTTAGAATTCTTTAATTTGGAACAGTTCCTCAGCTTTTGTCATTTGTGACATTGATATTTTCTAAGGGTGCAAGGTGGTGTTTTGTTGAATCTCCTCAACCTGAGTTTATCTGTTTTTTAAACAATTCGATTCAGTAATAACATTTTTTACAGAAATACTGTAGTTGATGTATGTTCTTTGTGCATGTGCATCAAGAGGTGCCCAATGTCAGTAATGTTGTTTCACCCGCCGGATACCCTTTGTAACTGTACCTGCATAGGCTGTGGGGAAATATTTGAGACTATAAATACCCCATTCCCCAACAGACTTTCACCCATTGTTTTTAGCATCAGTTGATGATTCTTGCTTAAATCAACAATTACTGTAGAAGTTCCAAATGATGACTTTCTAACTCTTGTCATTCTTCCTGCCTTAGTTTGTTGGTCTAATACTTTTTGATAGAAATGGTTCTTTATGAAATTGTCCTAAATGGATTTAAAATGTCAGTTGATATGACTTAAGATTTTTTTCCCCCTCTTTAACTTTTTACTAAGAGAATGTTCAACATACAAAAAAATGGAAAGGACATTTTGGCGGTCATTAGATTCAGCAGTTTTAAACATAGCCATGTTTGTTTTACCAATCTTTGTGCTTTTATATGTGTATTTGCTGTACTTTCTCAAAGTGTGTTGCAGATTTAACGACACTTTATCCTTAAATCTTTCAGCATATATCTTCTTGTATAATCACAGTGCTAGCAGCTCACCTAGGAAAATGAGTAATTACATAATAACATGTAATATCCAGTTCATGTTAAATTTACATAAGATTTCTTTCTTTTTTTACCAGGATCCAGTTGGAGATTCAAGCATTTTACTTAGTTTCTCTTAGTTCCTTTTAATTTAGAATAGTTCATTTTCATTCTCATACTTTCTTTCAGTTTTAATAACGTTGTTACTTTATGTTATTTTATGAATGACATATTTATAAAGGAGATACTGTATCCTTTTTGAATTAGTAACTGTAGAATATGTCTGCACCAGTGAATATCCTGTTCCTTAGTAACTTTTCACCTAATGTTTTAGTGTCCATTGATAATCCTTGCCTAAAGGTGATTTTTCTTTTCCTTAAACACAAGATAGCATATTCTATACATTCTTCTGCAATTTTGTTTTCACTTAAAGACATCGTTCTATCCATATAGAAAAGTTTCCCCTGGTGTTAAAAGTTTTTTCACATCATATATGTAAAGAGGTATTATTTTGAATAGGCTATAAATTTTTCATATAGTACAGAATTTGAGAGGCATCTTCCCCTGAGGCAGCCACTGATACCAGTTTCTTTTGTTACCATGTATATTCTTTCAGAGATAGTTTACGTGTGTATATATTCTTTCTAGTAGTCCTGTCTATAAAGGTAGTACTGAGCCTTGACTTTTTCATTTAACAGTATCTCATGGAAACTGGGCTTTCCTGGTGGCTCAGAGGTTAAAGCGTCTGCCTGCAATGCGCGAGACCCGGGTTTGATCCTTGGGCTGGGAAGATCCCCTGGAGAAGGAAATGGCAACCCACTCCAGTATTTTTGCCTGGAGAATCCCATGGACAGAGGAGCCTGGTAGGCTACGGTCCACGGGGTCACAAAGAATCAGACAGGACTTAGCGACTTCACTTTCACTTTCATGGAAATTATTTTGTATTAGTACATTTTAGATTTCCTTATTCATTTTTATAGCTGCATATTATTCTGTTATAAAGATAAGCCATAATTTATTTGGCCAATCCTCTGTTTGGTTATGGTGGTGATTACAGTCACTAAGGTGGTTAAAGTCCTTGATGCTGGGAAGGATTGAGAGCAGGAGAAGAGAGCGTCAGAGGATGAGATGGCTGGATGGCATCACTGCTGCAATGGACATGAACTTGGGCAAACTCCGGGAGGTGGAGAGGGACAGGGAGGCCTGGTGTGCTGCATTCCATAGGGTTGCAAAGAGTCGGACATGACTAAGTGACTGAACAACAATAGTCGCTAAGTCTTGTTCAACTCTTGCAACCCCATGGTTGCAAGACTGTAGCCTGCCAGGCTCCTCTGTTCATGGGATTTCCCAGTCAAGAATACTGGAATGGGTGGCCTTTCCTTTCTTCAGAGGATCTTCCTAACCCAGGGATTGAACATCTCCTGTATCGCAGCCAGAATCTTTACTGCTGAGCCACCAGGGAAGCCCAGTCCTCTATTAACATTTTTCTAATCTCTTTGCAGCACAAATGGTGCTGCAGGGAATAATACATGTCATTTTGTGCATAGAGGCACAAATTTGTAGATCTGTGATATAAAGTACCAAAAGGTTATTGTGTCAAACAGTATGTACATTTGTAATTTTGACAGCAGTTGCCATGTAACCTTCACTAAAGACTGTACCAATTTTACATTACACCAGCAATGGAGGAGAGTGTATATGATCAAATTACCTAGTCTTAATGACCTTAACTTGCATTTCTCTTATTATGGGGTGAGGCAGAGCAGTTGTGCCTAGAATGACTTTTCCCCCCCGTGAAAAGTGTTTTTAAGTTCTGGATTTTGTGTAACCACTAAGAATTTAACATTTTTGAAGCCGTACTCTGCAGTTATTTAAACCAAGAAAAGACATAATTTAGAGATTAAGATTAAACTCTGGGATTTTAGGTTTATATCTTTGGCTTCACCACTTCCTAGCTGTGAGACCTCAGGCAACTTACCTAACCTCTCATTGTCACACTACTTTATCTACAGACCTTGAAGAACTTTGTGTATGTATTAAATCAGATAGCGCAGTGATGACCTTTCATTTACTTTCATAAAGCACAGTAGCTAACACATAATAAGATCACAGGAATGTTAGCTAATATCAGTATGCTTTTGTTCAGTAAATGGTATGCTTATAATTACATAAAAATAGTAATTTTTATTAGTAATAGAAAGGAAAGAAATAGGCTAAAGTATTGCAGTTAGGTAACTGCTGCTGAAGAATTATGGGTAATTTGTATTATTTTAAGTATTTTGTAATACCTAATTTTTCTGTAATAAGCATGTATTTTGTAATAGAAAAATATGGTACACTTTTTTTTAGAAAGGAAAAATGTTTTCAGATTTATTGAGATATAACTGACATATGGCACTGTACAGTTTAAGCCATACAGCATAATGATGTGACATACGTGTAGCAAAGGGATCACCATAAGCTTAGTTAACATCCATTACTTCATAGTTACCAAAAACATCATTTTTCCTTCTGATGAGATCTTCTAGGATCTACTCTCTTAGCAACTGTCTAATACACCATACAGCAAGTGTTAACTATAGCCATTGTGTTGTATCCTCAGTACTTATTTATCTTGTAACTGGAAGTTTATATATTTTGACCACCTTCATCCAGTTCCCCCTCTGCTAACCACAAATCTGATCTCTTTCTATGGGCTTTTTTCTTTTTTTTAGATTCCATGTGTGAGATCATACAGTATTATTTTTATCTTTGTCTGACTTATTTCATTTAGCATGATGCCCTCAAGGTCAATCCATGTTGTTGCAAATATGGCATTCATTCTTGTTAAATGATTAACTATTTTGTTAAAACCTCTTTCTTCTGTTTCCCATTATAGACAGAGAGTGCATGGGCTGAAGAATACTCTGAAAAGAAGAAAGGGTCTCACAAACGTTCAGCATCGTGGGGCAGCACAGATCAGCTTAAGGAGGTCAGAAAAATGGTTCTAAGGAAGTGGGTGTGAAAATTGCCTTGGTTGACTAGTTCCCAGAAGTGAGCTGCAAAGATTTGTCAGTTCCATTGTTTTTTAATTTCTTTTTTGGTGGCGGTTTTGTTTACTTGAGAAATAACACCAGAAAAATAGAAAGATTTGAATAGGGAAATATACACATAACTTACCTGATTATGTGTGTTTATTTTTTAATGAGAATCCATAGCTGTTAATATAATTAAATATCAAATGTATGAAATTGTAGTGATAAAACAAATTCACTCTTATTATTTCTATATACAATGGTAAGTATTTTTGATATTTAGTAACCCAATGTAAGCAAGTTGATTATGGCCCTATGTTATGATTACCATTTTTTGTGCCTATAATTGCACATTTGAGTTTTAAATATAATGTAGCCATAAAACAGAAAAACTCCATCAAGGAATAATATTAATATTAATAATAATCAGATATTAATCAAAAATATGTTTGTTATTTTTTATTTTTGAATATAATCTTGTGTTTTTATTTTTTTATTTTTTCATTTATTTTTATTAGTTGGAGGCTAATTACTTTACAATATTGTAGTGGTTTTTGCCATACATTGACATGAATCAGCCATGGATTTACATGTGTTCCCCATCCTGATCCCCCCTCTCGCCTCCCTCTCCATCCCATCCCTCTGGGTCTTCCCTAAGCACCCGTTTCATGCATCCAACCTGAGCTGGTGATCTGTTTCACCCTTGATAATATACATGTTTCGATGCTGTTCTCTCTAAACATCCCACCCTCGCCTTCTCCCATAGAGTCCCCAAATCTGTTCTGTACATCTGTGTCTCTTTTTCTGTTTTGCATACAGGGTTATCGTTACCATCTTTTAAAATTCCATATATATGTGTTAGTATAATGTATTGGTCTTTATCTTTCTGGCTTACTTCACTCTGTATAATGGGCTCCAGTTTCATCCATCTCATTAGAACTGATTCAAATGAATTCTTTTTAATGGCTGAGTAATATTCCATTGTGTATATGTACCATAGCTTCCTTATCCATTTGTCTGCTGATGGGCATCTAGGTTCCTTTCATGTCCTGGCTATTGTAAACAGTGCTGCGATGAACACTGGGGTCCACGTGTCTCTTTCAGATCTGGTTTCCTCGGTGTGTATACCCAGGAGTGGGATTGCTGGGTCATATGGCAGTTCTATTTCCAGTTTTTTAAGGAATCTCCACACTGTTCTCCATAGTGGCTGTACTAGTTTGCATTCCCACCAACAGTGTAAGAGGGTTCCCTTTTCTCCACACCCTCTCCAGCATTTATTGCTTGTAGACTTTTGGATAGCAGCCATCCTGACTGGCGTGTGATGGTACCTCATTGTGGTTTTGATTTGCATTTCTCTGATAATGAGTGATGTTGAAGATCTTTTCATGTGTTTGTAAGCCATCTGTATGTCTTCTTTGGAGAAATGTCTGTTTAGTTCTTTGGTCCATTTTTTGATTGGGTCATTTATTTTTCTGGAAATGCATTTCATGGCTTGAATTGATTTTTAAATAATACTGTTTCCTTTTTTGGAGCTGTTGAAGGTAAGGTATTTGATAAAGAAATCTAATTATAAATAAAATGTGACTCACTATAAGGAAAATCAGAATATTAGCATTGTTTTTGAATTGTTTGTGAAAGCTATAAGGTATAATTGCTAAAAGCTTCATTTGTTTAACACTTGGGAAGCTTAAAGGTGCAGAACAGTGTTGGAACATAATTTTTTCTTTGAAAGAAAGATATACATTTATACATATATAGATATGTGTATATATACATATACATTTTTTAAAGTAAATCAGATTTTTGTGGTATGGTTTAAAAACTCAAAAGACATAATAAGGTTGAGTTTTATTGGTTATTATTAAGCAAGGATATGTTTTATGTGATGTGGAAGACACTCTGACGCACTTATTTCCCCCTTTTCAGATTGCAAAATTACGCCAGCAGTTGCAGAGAAGTAAACACAGCAGTCGGCATCATCGAGATAAAGAAAGACAGTCTCCATTCCATGGCAACCATGCAGCTATTAACCAGAGTCAGGTAGGAGCACAAGATGCCACGAAATCCAGACAAGGGATAAGTTGTTTTCCTGGTGTTATCTCATTGCATAGGTAAATGTTTATGATGAGGATGTTCAAAAGCATGTTTGAAACAGTGATTAAATACTGAATCACAGCCTTCATTAAAAAAAAAACACAATACTAAGTTGACAAAAATGATATTTTCCTTTAATGATATGACTTCTAGGCGATATAGCTAGTTACGTATTTTGACTTTTGTCTTTGTCGGTTTGGTTTATTGGAGGCAGAATAATACAGATGAACACTGGCTGTGGAGCAGAGCCTGGATAGGTAACCTGTTCAAAGTCCCAGTTTCCTCACGTGACAGCACATGATGATGATACCTGGCGCATGAAGTCTTTTAGTAGAGAAGGTCTTTAACTGCTTTGTGTGTGTGTGTGTGTTTTTTTTTTTTTTTGATTTTTAATTGAACACTATGAACTGCTCTTGATGGCTCACCCAGGGAGCATTTCTGTTCATACTGAATTGAAATTGGATGGCATCCATTGGCAAAGAGAGAGCAAGAAAAAGTTTGCGTGCTCCTTTTTTAGGTTGATAGCTTCTGATGATTGTCCAGTATATGTGGATTGTTTTCAAGAGAAAGTATGGGTGAAGGTATATATATTTTTTCAAGCTAACTAATTATGTCTTAAAATATTGATAGATGGGTCAAACTTGATTTCACAGATTTATAGTTTGATTGCAGTTTGGCTTCCAGTGACTTTTTTCCTATATAAGGCATTTTAGTTATAAAATATGAATATACATTGACACATTTAACAGCCTAAACAAACTGCGTTTATATTTGGAGAAATGGAAAATGCAAAATTGACCAAGTAAGAAGTGAAAAAGTTGAATAGACTATTGGAATACTAAATATTCCACTCATTCAAAAAAGGCCACAGACCCGCCTGGTTTTACAGGTGAGTTTGCCAACCTTCTACTCCCTCTAATTCATCCATAAATAATTTAGATGTATTTCTAAGAGATAAATCCAGTTCTTATTTCCTATCCATATTTTTACTCCAAGTAGAATAGAAGTTAAGATTGAGTTTTATTGAATTTTAATTGATGGATTTTAGCAGTTTATAAGTTTCTGAAGTGATTTTTTTTAAAAGTTGTATTTAAATTATCAATTACAGTGGTAAAATTATCCAAAAATTTTTTTCCCCTGCAAGTTGCTTAATAAAGACTATTGAAGTTTGCATGAACTTCATTTTTGTCTAAATGAAGGTGCCTCTTTGTGGAGACAGTGAGGACAAGAAAATATAGTAACTTGAAAAATAAATTCACATGGCTTGACTTTTGTACACTTGACACACCAATCATCTTGACTACTGGGCTTGCTTTCCTGGGTGTTAAAGCCCGTCAGCGGTCAGGCACGTGTGTCTTATGATAGCTGTGGCAGTAGTGTTCAGAGTTAATTGACACCTTAAGACTGTGAACATGAAAATATTATTCAAGTCATGATTGTGGCTTTGTTTAGTGGATTCTCTCTCTAGAGGAGAAAGTACCACTTTGAGATATGTGCGCTTTGAGGCCATTCCTCCATCCGTGCAACATTTATCAAATATCTGCCATATGATTGGTATGGTAGTATTCATTAGGGGATGTAGTGATAAATGAACTATTGGGGCTTTCCCCCCACCAAATCTCAGATAATAAGTAAACAGTTAATTTTTATACAGTATAATGAGTATGTTCATCAGGAAATGTTCAGAGTATTGTAGAAGGGGCATTTATCCTTGAATTGACAATGAGCTATCTAGAAAGGCTTTTAGAGAAAGTGGTATCTAAGTGATCCATGAAGGATAGATAGAATTTAGCTAGTTTTGGGCTTCCCTTGTGGCTCAGCTGGTAAAGAATCTGCCCGCAATGCGGGAGATCTGGGTTTGATCCCTGGGTTGGGAAGATCCCGTGGAGAAGGGAAAGGATACCCACTCCAGTATTCTGGCCTGGAGAATTCCATGGACTGTATAGTCCATAGGATCGCGAAGAGTCAGACAGGACTAGAGATTTTCACTTTCACTTTCTGGACACAGAAGAAATCATGGCTCTAGGGAGGAGTGGTAGTAAGAGATTAGGTTAGCCAGAGCTGAGAGTCTTCATGTCTCAGTTGTTTAAGAAATTTGGACTTTGTCTTTGAAGCACCGGAGAGCTATTTTCTACAATGCAGGGGGTTGACAAATGATCAGATATGCATTTTGACATGATCATTATGAGTTCAGAGTAGAGAATGAATTTGGTACCGGACAAGATTGGGGCAGGAAAATCTATAAATAGATTTATAATCCATGTAAGAAATGATGGTGACCTAAAGTAAGGTAGAAGCTGTGGAACTATAGAGAATGGACAAACCTGAGTGATATTTAGAAAACAATAATTAATAGTTGAACTCTAGTAAGTCCTTCAATATGGGAACACTGTATTCAGCTTTTGTGTATTTAAGCATTTAATCCTCATCTTTGAGGTGGAGATTGTTATTACTCCAATTTACAGGCAAAGAATTAAGGCTCAGAGAGCTCATGTATCTTGTTCAAGGTCATATAAGACAGAGCTGGGATTCTAATTGAAGCATTTTGACTTCAGAATCTGAGTCTTTAAACTTTTTTAGCTTATGGTTGATGATATGGGAATGATGGACATATAGGAGTAAAAGGTAAGACCAATTCTAGCCTTTAAACATAATTTAAGAAATATATCCACCTACCTCATACCATGTACAAAAGTAACTCAAAATGGATCAAGCACCTCAATATAAGAGCTAAAACTAAAAACTCTTAGATGAAAATAGGCATTAATGTGATGTTGGATTAGGCAATGGTTTATTGGATATGACACCAAAAGCACAAGCAATAATAGAAAAAGTACATAAATTGGACTTTATCATAATTAAAAACTTTAGTGCTTCAAGGATAAGCTACAAAATAGGCAAAAATATGTACAAATCATATGAAATACATGTATCTAAAATATATGAAGAACTCTTAAAACTCAATAATAAAAAGACAAGCAGTCCAATTTAAAAATGGACAAAGGATCTAAATAGAGAGTTCTCCAAGGAAGATGTGCAATAGCGAATAGGTATGTGAAAAAGATATTTATCATTATTTGTCTATCGGGAAATGAATACAAATTCTAGTGAGATACTACTTCATACCCACTAGAACAGCTAAAACTAAAAAGACAAATAGCAAGTTTTAGAAAGAATGTGGAGAAATCGGAACCCTTATGTATTGCCAATAGGAATGTAAAATCCTGTCAGCACTGTATAAGCTGATAGGAATGTAAAACAGCCTAGTAGTTCCTCAAAAGGCTAAATAAACATAGAGTTACTGTATGACCCACTGCTTCTTCTCCAAATTATGTACTAAAGAGTTGGAAACATATGTTCATGTAAAAACTTGTACACAGATGTTCACAGCAGCATGGCTTACAGTAGCCAAGATTTGGAAACAACCCACTTGTCCTTCAACCAATGAATGGATAAATAAAATGCAGTATAGATCCATACAATGGAATATTCACTTCTGTTCAGTTCAGTCGCTCAGTCGTGTCTGACTCTTTGCGACCCCATGAACTGCAGCACACTAGGCCTCCCTGTCCATCACCAACTCTCCAAGTTTACTCAAACTCATGTCCATTGAGTCGGTGATGCCATCCAACCATATCATCCTTTGTCATCCCCTTCTCTCACCTTCAAACTTTCCCAGCATCAGGATCTTTTCCAGTGAGTCAGCTCTTTGCATCGCTTCAACATCAGTCCTTCCAATGAACACCCAGGACTGATCTCCTTTTGGATGGACTGGTTGGATCTCCTTGCAGTCCAAGGGACTCTCAAGAGTCTTCTCCAACATCACAGTTCAAAAGCATCAATTCTTCTGTGCTCAGCTTTCTTTATAGTCCAACTCTCACATCCATACATGACCACTGGAAAAACCATAGCCTAAACTAGACGCACCTTTGTTGGCAAAGTAATGTCTCTGCTTTTTAATATGCTGTCTAGGTTGGTCATAACTTTTCTTCCAAGGGGTAAGCGTCTTTTAATTTCATGGCTGCAGTCACCATCTGCAGTGATTTTGGAGCCCCCCAAAATAAAGTCTCTCACTGTTTTCACTGTTTCCCTGTCTATTTGCTATGAAGTGATGGGACTGGATGCCATGATCTTAGTTTTCTGAATGTTGAGCTTTAAGCTGACGTTTTCACTTTCATCAAGAAGCTCTTTAGTTCTTCTTCCCTTTCTGCCATAAGGGTGGTGTCATCTGCATATCTGAGGTTATTGATATTTCTCCTGGCAATCTTGATTCCAGCTTGTGCTTCCTCCAGCCCAGCATTTCTCATGATGTACCCTGCATATAAGTTAAATAAGCAGGGTGACAATATACAGCCTTGACCTACTCCTTTTTGTATTTGGAACCAGTCTGTTGTTCCATGTCCAGTTCTAACTGTTGCTTCCTGACTTGCATACAGGTTTCTCAAGAGGCAGGTCAGGTGGTCTGGTATTCCCATCTTCCTTCAGAATTTTCCACAGTTTGTTGTGATCCATACAGTCAAAGGCTTTGGCATAGTCAATAAGGCAGAAATAGATGTTTTTCTGTAACTCTCCTGCTTTTTCGATGATCCATCGGATGTTGGCAGTTTGATCTCTGGTTCCTGTGCCTTTTCTAAAACCAGCTTGAACATCTGGAAGTTCACGGTTCATGTATTGCTGAAGCCTGGCTTGGAGAATGTTGAGCAGTACTTTACTAGCGTGTGAGATGAGTGCAATCGTGCGGTAGTTTGAGCATTCTTTGGCATTGTCTTTTTTTGGGGTTGGAATGAAAACTGACCTTTTCCAGTCCTGTGGCCACTGCTGAGTTTTCCAAATTTGCTGGCATATTGAGTGCAGCACTTTCACAGCATCATCTTTTAGGATTGAAATAGCTCACAGGGAATTCCATCACATCCACTAGCTTTGTTCGTAGTGATGCTTTCTAAGGC